TATTAATGTTCTTCAATTTAGGCTGAGCACTTAAAATCTATTAATCCTCATGGCACTACAGTTATAGCTAGTTCAATCTGATTAGCTTATAAAGGCAATGAAGACTACACAGACTGAATTTACATGCATCACAAGTTTTTCTGCTTCACACTAAACTATTGATTTCTGTACAAGTCAGAAAAGGAACTATACTATTTAATAAATAGAGAAATGCATGAAACCGATATTAGAAACCTTACCAGTTCCAGCAGCATATTGCTTTAATTGATTCTTCATAGCTGTATTTTGTTCTAACACAATGGCTCTGTTTTAAGGAACAAAAATAAATTAAATTGATACAACAAAGGAATAAGACAACAGTCTAAAAAGCTCAAAGACATAACTGAGTTGCACCACAAAAGACTTTAACCCTCTCATAATTGTACTCATAAAGTCTTGAAACAAATAACTAATGGCTAACCAGAGCCACACAAAAATGATCACGACTGAAAATAAATTTTAAACATGTACTATAGGAAGATCATCTGGAATGGATGAAAAACAATTTTTTCTATCATTTAGGAGTGGGTTATAATGATATTATTAGCATCTAAGTACCACCTAAAATAGTGTTTTATTTTGTAACCACCAAGACAGCAACCAATGGAGATGCGGATTAAAAATATAATTGGGACACAATAAAAGAAACCGAAGATTATGAATATCGACACTGAATAATGATAAAGTAAAGAAACTCCGAGATAGCAACCAGATTACGTACTTGCGGGATTTATGCTTGCGCTCAGCTTCCTCTGACCGCATTTTAACATGGTTCTTAGTTGACTCATCTAAGATACGCTGCACATTTACTTTGCGCCATGCACATCCTGATTCAACTAGCAATCCATTTCCACTTTCACCACTTTCACGCTCTTCATAAATGTCACAGAGGTCTCCAAATTCCCGCGACCATGTAAATGTAAACTCCTTCCCATCCAGATCAATAACCTGATGCAATGTTGAACCATTCAAAGCAATGAAAACGTTAAGATAATTGCTGCACCTATATTAAAGACTAGCTACTATGAAGAAAATTCCAAATATCCCAATGGAAACGCTTAAAAGCATTCAAATTTTATCATATGGGGAGCACAAACTATCCCAAAAACTCCAAAAAACATCAACCCCACCAGATGAATAATTTTACAGGAAACCCAATTAGTTGACGAAGTAATAATTCTACAAAAAGTAACAAAAGGAATATGATTTGAACTATATAAGCTGCACCTAACCAAAAGTCAGCTCAACGTTGCCTCGTAAAAGATAAGAAAAAATTAAAAGTATGAACGAAACAAATACTCCTAAGTCTGCCAATAATAAATTTAAGGATTTAAGCAAAACCCAATTGAAGAATTACTCATAAACCAAGTACAAGATCATCAGAACAATAATAAAATATTCCGTAACCTACAGAAAATAGTTAAAATTTGAAAACTAACCAAGGAGAACACAAACCAAAAGTACAAGCACAAATTTTTTTTCTCTATGAAACTTCATAAATCAACAGAATTTAAAGAACGAAATGAGAAATCATTGAAACACGACCAAGAGACGCATAGGCAAATCACAAACACTAAAATATAAATTTCCAGAACCCAACAAAATTAGCAAAAATTAAGCAGTACTCAGTTCAAATACTGCCCCAGATACTCACATTGCCAATGGGATTATTGGGCAGAGGACCAAATTTGATGCGGGGGGCCCCACCTTGGGCCTCGACGCGTTTGATCTCTTCGGCCAAGTCGGGCGCCATACGAATGATCATAGAGAAGGCAAGTGGGTTATGGCCGGCG